TTAGGTCTTAAGTTCACGATTTAGGGTAGGTCGCCCTTAGCACCCCCTAAACCCTGTAACCCCAAACCCTAAACCCTGAACCCATCCCTTCTGTGCTGGTACTGCCGCCTCAACCGGTTTATTGGTACCAGGCAGCCCTGCATCGGAAGGTCTCCTGGGAAGGCCCTAAGAAGACTCGGCAATGATAGGACAAGAGTGGCGAAATACCAATCGGGAGATCGAGAGAACAGCAAGAAGAGCAGCCATAACAGGAAAAACGCTGCCAGAATACTACTCATAAGCAGCCCAGGGACCGCAAAAACAACCACCGCAGCATTCTCACTGCATCAGTATATGTTATGAACGACGACTCAAGACAAGCCTGGCACCGGGCCCAAACTCAACGTGTTGTTTCACCCTCACACAATCTCTGATACAAGCTCTGCTTGCATGTCGCTCCAGATTACCCAACAATCTTTTCGCAAGATCTAGTTAGTGCTCCGAACCTTGATGGAATGCCACTACCTCACGCTAGACTCGCGAAGCATGCATATCCTCAAACAGCAACATCTTCACAAACCCTAAACCCTGAGACTCTGAATGCTAAAGCTTCATGCGTTTTTTGCAACGAGGCACGCTCCTGCTGAAAGCACTGGCGCGACGAGCAGAAGGGGCCTGAAAAAGCTGGAAATAATTCTTATACTGCTGATGGACAAAATCCTTTAAAGGGAGCTATAAGGGTACCTTTAAGGATGCCTCTTGAGGAATCTATAGGGTTTGCGGGTTTAGGGATATAAATCCTGCATTACCCTGTTTCAGGAATATACCATAGTTCCCATAGTTTCGAGTCCTTAGGGTCATGCAGGATTCTGTCCATCAACAGTACAGGTGCGCGCACGTTTGTGTGTGTGTGCGCATATAAAAATGGATGAGACAGAGAAAGATGAGACAGACATTTAAGTTAAATGTAGATATAACATAGAGATAAGAGAGAGAGAGAGAGAGAGAGAGAGAGAGAGAGAGAGAGAGAGAGAGAGAGAGAGAGAGAGAGAGAGAGAGAGAGAGAGAGAGAGAGAGAGAGAGAGAGAGAGAGAGAGAGAGAGAGAGAGAGAGAGAGAGAGAGAGCGAGAGAGCGAGACAGAGAGAGAGAGAGAGAGAGAGAGAGAGAGAACCAAGGGTTCCCATAGTGTAAGTGCGAGATGTCTCGAGGTTGCTTTGGTTCTACGGGGGTTTTAGGAAGTCATGTACATGCCACAGCTGATTCTTGCATCACCCTAAACCCAAGAGCCTAAACCGTGAAACCTCTAAACTCTAAGTCCGAACCCTAAATCCCAAGACATGATGGCGCATGATGGCTGGCATCCACCCTGCAATGCCTGAGGCGCTCGTCGTCAAATCGGACGCGGCTGGTCGTGTAGACCTGAGTGGTTGTGAAAATTAGGGTCCCTTTTCGGGCACCCTAAATATTAGGTGCCGTATTATAGAAAGGACCCAAAAAGGTCCAGAAATTTTGACAACCACCCACCTGTAGTCACTGTAGTCCAGGCTCGTGTTTTGGTTCTGGAGCTGAGGGTTTACCGTTTAAGCGGTTAGCGCTGAGGGTTTAGAGGTTAAGGGTTTAGGGCTTATAGCTTCAGGGTGTATCAAAGTCATCAAACCTAAGGCACACCGGATCGCTGACCAGGAAGAACGCCTCAGGGAACAGACCAAAGGAGTCCAGGGATGAATACACATGGGTAGTTGTCAAAATTATGGTCTCTTTTTGGGCAACCTAAATGATAGGTGCCGTATTATATTAGGGACCCAAAAAAGGGACCATAATTTTGACAACCACCCACATGGAACAGGATTTGCTGATTTCAAGAATGCTAGCGACTTTGCCAAAGACTGACGAGGCGGTAAATAGTAAATGGCTCTTTGGCCGAGGATCTTCAAAAGCCCTCGCCTAAGTACCCTAAAACACAGCCCTTAACCCCTAAACCCTGAACTCCGAAACCCTAAAGCCTAAACCCTAATCCCCTCAATCCCTAAACCCCGCACCCTAAGCCCTGCCCTACAGCTAGAAGGTCTGCAGTTCACGGCGTCCTGGTTTCGGGTTGTGCCTTCCGACACCCAAGATCCCATAAAGCTTAGGGCTTGAGGCTTTGGCTTTATGGCTTAAGGCTGAGGGCTTAGGGCCTCGGAGTCTTAGGGTTTAGGGCTTAGGGCCTGGGGATCCTCTCTGAGCTTGTTTAGTATATTATAGTATATTATAGTATATTATGGTATATTGTGGTATATTATAGTATATTATGGTATATTATGGTATATTATGGTATAGTCTGGTATATTATGGTATAGTATGGTATATTATAGTATATTCAACCGAAGTCACCCACCCTAAGTTCCCGGCAGACTTTCATAGCTGACTTCATAGCCCGAACTCTCACCAGGACCCCCTAAGTGCTCGGTACAAGAGCCCTTACGGTCCCTAAGAGGTATATTAGAGGGTCGTTGGGGGGTCTAGGAACACCTAACACCTTAGTATGATATAACATACTACATTACATTATAATATGACATGGTAGAAGATGACACAACACGATACAAAATGATGTAGTGTTACATATTTTACATATTATGACACTGGACCAAAGGCTTTTTCCTTTGATTGAAGTTCCAGCGAGCGGCTTTCTCGGGTCGAACTCCTTGGCGGCCCTCCTCAATCAGCTCCGTGCAGGCCTCTCGGAGTTCCATCTTTTTTTGGTGGTCTATGGGTGTACAGGGCTTAGAGTTTATGATGATTCGGAAACCTGATTCCTCCAAAGATAACCTCAACTGAAAGCCTTCAGGAGAGGAGTATGATGTAAATTGCGCGTTCATGGTCCTAAACTCCTAAATTATGAGGTACAATATGCATTCCTTACGTAGAACTGTTGGGTTCCCGGGGCCTCGGCCCAGAAAAGACTACAGCTTTGGGTCCATGCTCTGGGGTACGCGGGCAAACCCTAAAGTTTAGGGTTTTTTTTGTTTTAAGCTCCTTTTTCCTAAAGTCCCACGCAGCAACTCCAAAGTTTAGGGTTTAGGGTTTCCAATTATTAAGGCCCCTATATTGGGAAGCCTCCTAAACACCCCAAATCCCCCAAAATCGGCCTCTTTCTCCAGGAAGCCCCTCAGAAGCCACACGGGCGGAGACGTCCTCGGCGTTTTCAAAGTCTTTTAGGCTTCAGGGGTTCAGGATTTGAGGTTTGGGGTTTTGGATTTAGGGTTTAAGGTTTGCGGCTTCGGGTTCGGAGTTAGGAGTTTAAGGGGTTTAGGGCTTAGAGCTTCGAGTTTAGGGTTTAAGGCTGGATGCCAGGCTTAGGGAAAGGATCAACTCTCGAGCCGAGGATCTTGAAACCCAAACTGTTGACCTAAAGGACCCCAGCATAAGAACACAACTCCGCACAACCGCAGAGTCACATAATATACTATAGTATGCTATGTTAGAGTGTAACATCAAACAGAAAATGTAATATAGTATGAGCTGATACAATACAAGGTCCTACTTGTGGGCAAGCAGCCGGAGCTTCACCACCTCGACGTTGCCAAGGGCCTCGAAATTCAGAGCCGGATACCTGGTACCTGAAAGCACAATGTCAGCTCCATCGAAGGCCACTGGGCAACGTTTCTGTACAACAACAGCGACAGCAACAGCAACATAGTCATAACCAGAACACTATGAGATATAGCAACGAAGAGAATTCCAAGAATACCAATGTTGCAAAAGCAGTCATAACACCAAGCCTTTCAGCAATGCTGCAACAACACTCAAAACCCTAATTGAACCCCAAACCCACGGCGTTGAACCCTAAAACCCTAAACTATGAACCTGAAGTCAAGACCCAAGACTTTCAACTCTAAACCCTAACCCGAAACCCCAAACTTGAAACTCTAAGATCTACATAGCAGCCCTTAAACGGATCCCTTACTATCCCCTTTCAAGGACCCCTACAGGCCCACCCCTCAAAAGAGGGCACTCGAGAAGCAAACGCCGGGCCAGCGCGCCACGCAGAGCGACAAGGCGGCGAAGAGGGCGCATAGCCGAGAAGGCGCCATGGCGTCTTGGGCTTTTCAGGGGGTTTAGGGGTTAGGGCTCTAAGGGGATTCTATAGGGTTTTTCGGTTCAGGGTTTAAGGGGCTTTGGGTTTAGGGGTTAGGGGTTAGGGGTTGAGGGATTTAGGAGTTTAGGGTTAAGAGGTTTAGGGTTTTTAAGGGGCCTTAAAATGGTTACCTACTCTACTACTATCGTCAGGCAAATACGGTGTCCGGGACTCGTGAAGGTAGAGCTTTGCCAAAGGATGAGGGTTCTTGATTTCTAGCGACCTTCTGGCCTTCGGGCCGCTTGATGCACAGCTGCTCGACTTCTGTGCTTGAGCCAATCCTTCCCAGCAAGCGGTTGAGCCACGCACGACAAAGACACGAGAGCGAAATCTAAACCTAAACCGAAGACTCTAGACTCTAAACCCTGAACCCTAAATCGAACGGTCAGCTCCACACTCAACGCTCAAGCATCCCGACAGAGTACCAGCACCACTAGTTTCACTAGTTGATAACCACCTGCCCATCGATATTTCCCCCATCCATCCAAATCCATTACTACGTTGTTTAACTAGTTGGCTGCTGCACACATGCTGCTGCTACTACTCCTTTATCTTATTGCCAAAGGCTTGCAAAGTCGCAAGGACGACGTCGGGGTGACATGATGATGACCATGACAATAGCGAAGAAGGATAATATGCAGATGATGCTGATGGTGATGATGTTGTTGTTGATACTGATGATGATCACGGTGACGACGGCGATGTTGACGACGAAGGTGAAGAAGAGAAACAAGATGGTGATGATGCTGATGTTGATGATGCTGGTGATGATGACGATGGTGGTTGTGATGGTGACGGTGATGATGCTGATGATGATGATGATGATGATGGTGGTGATGAACCACGCACACAAAAATTAAAAAACCCTGGATGCACGTTGTTCTACTTTCAAGGCCCAACCTGATACGCAAGAGCCGCCGCCATATGGGTCGACATGTGCGCAGGCTGCGGATCTGGCGATTTCAGGGCTTGACTGTTTCGAACCTCTTGCCTATACGGGTCCTACAATAGAGTTCCTGTGCGGGTTCATTGATAGGATTTCTCAAAGGGTTCTGTAATAGGCTTCATAGGCTTCACTGTAGAAGTAAGCAATATATCGCTGCCCTCAGCGTGAACACCAAAGCCTTAACCAAAACCCACACCTCTGGCCCTAAAGCTAGTGACCAAGAAGACCTGTACCCAACGAGCCCTTAGCCGTGTTTCTTCTAGGCATCCCACAATCGATAAAAAGCTATACACCTCCTCACCAAATCGCAAACACCATGTACAACTTAAACACATGAAGACATAAACACCCAAAATCCAATGAGCCAGAAAATACAATGGCCGTTTGCCTTCCGCATGCTTCGGACCATCCATCCTCCTGGGCACCGTGTGTCCGGGGTCCTCTGTTTGCGGGGTTCCGGAGCCTGATGTTGAGACGTGCATAATTTGAAATAGATCAGGGGTTGGGAGTTCATTGTTCTATAGTCATCAAGAGACGGCTATGAGCTAGTAATAAGCTACAAAAGGCATCATAAAGGGCATCAAAGGCGCGAAGAGTTCAGGGTTAGCATGCCGGAAAGCAATCTTCAGGTTTGGGTTAACGGCTTGCGGTTTGGGGTTCAGTTTAAAGGATATAACCTCTGCGCATTTTGTTTCGAGCTCTCGCTACCAAGCGAAACCTATGTAAAGCCTATGGACTGTTGCTAAAACTGGCGAGGAATATCCTTTTCAAGTCACAGCCCCGATGTTGAGGTTTAAGGGCTCCCGGGGTTTAGGGGTTTTGGGTGTATAGGGGTAGGGCTTTTGGCATTCTTTGCCTAGGCCCCTGGCGGTGGGGCGACATAGCCTCCCACCATCACAAGCGGCGCAGCAGCCGTGCCGTATGCTGCCATGTCCGGCGGTGATGTGGCTTCCACCCCTCAAGTGGGAAGGCTACGAAGCAGGAGTGGCTCCTGCAAAGGCAACCATACTTGTGGAGGAGTGAGTCAGAATAAGCTTGTTACCAGCGGGCCTTTTCTGGCTGGTGTTGCACAGAGGTTGCTGATGGACGCGCCCTACCAGACCCTGGTGCGCATTCGGCCTGCTTTTCACCAGCTAGTGAGGGGTCAGCTGTGACTCATTAAGGGCTCTGTACCGACATCTCCGACTTCTTGCTCAGGTGGCCATGTCCATGCACCGGGAAGCTCTGTGTGCTCCCCACCCTCCCACTTGAGCAACACAGCTCCCGATGTAATAGGCATAAGATGTGACTTCGGGAAGGGCCCAAGCGGAGTCGCACACTAACTAGCACCAATGGCTGAAATAAATGCGCAATCTCGAATACAGACATAGGCGCCAACTGTGCGAAAACCAGTCCTTCGCAAAGGCCAGAGTACAAAAAAGCCCCCCCACGTGCAAAACACCGCGGCCACAGCAAGCTCTCTGCTCGAACACTTTGTTTCACTCGTGCGTGGCATTTCCAATGGGAACAGCAAAGCTGAAGCGATCGCGCCCGTCATTATATCCGGAGGCTGTCGGGGGGACGTGCTTCGAACGACGGAGCACTTTCTCTCGTGTCATAGCGGGTTTAAGGCGCAACTAAACCCTCGACGTGACACTACACTCTCATAGAAGATCCCCCGACTTCAGTTGCACCGCACCTTATGGAGCCCAATGGCACCCTGGGCGATGCAGGTGGCAAAACCAAGCTGCTGTGACAAGTCGCTCGTAAGGACAGAGGAGGGAGTGCTGCTACTCTAGGAATATAGAATTGCTTTAGCAAGTAGAATACAGGCTTCCGTAAGCCCTAAACCCTATACGGTAGCATGCATATATGATCAACATGCTCTATGACCATGCTGGCTACGTAGATCCTAAAGCACTTTACAGCCCAAACATGATCTTGAATGACTAGCAACATCAGGTAATCATTCATCTCATTGACATGTAGTCTCTGTATTATAAGTATACGAGAATATGCCGCTACACCCTGTTCCAGTTAGCGACGCACGATATGGCAACCCTCACCCGGAAAAGCTTGAATAAGCAGCTAGGTTTTCCAGGCTTTAGGTTTCTTTGCTTAAGTGTAGTGGGGCCTTTTTCTGCAGAAGGCTTTAGGGTTTAGGGAGTTGGGCTTGGGTGTCAGGATTTGGTCTGGCTTGCATGAGGTGATTAACTTTTCTCTTCTACCTATGTTGCGTGGTCAGGAGGTTGGTAGTACGATACTTTGACAGAAAATACAGAGCTTGGGAAGAATCAGTTAGAAGGGCCCCCCCCTGTAATAGTGGTATAATAGGAAGATAATAGGGCCCTAATATATTCCTTATAGTGACTGTTACAGGGTGGGGGCCCCTTCTATTGAATCAGTTATTACTGCGACACCTCGACAATCTGAGTGCTTGGGTCAAGGGTTTAGGGCTCAGGGGGGGGCCGGGCTCATGAACAATATCACTCCCCGGGGTTTCCTACTACGTTTGAGTATGAACCCCCCGAAGCCCTATGTAATTCAGGCCCAGATATGCTGATTCTGAGACGGTTTTCCTAGAAGTTTTTACTCTTCTCGGATCAGCGTATGAAGTCATCTGCTCTTCTCAGAACTCTCCAACTTGTGTCAGTGCAGCTTGGTTCGTAATTGAATCGACTTTCGCAGAGACGCAAGGGCTGATGGAAAAGATGTGCCTAATCGGTTTAGGATGCAAAAGTTTGGGACTTTACGGTTTAGGGTTTAGGGTTTTAGTATTCAGGGCCCAAGACCTTATGCTACATTTACCACCTTGCGCAATCGAAGAAACGCACCTGGCCGGTAGACTTTTGAAGCCGGATTCCCTCACTTTATCCACAAAAGCTTGCCAGTCTGAAGGTTTCCGGATTCAGGGCTCGAGTTTAGGGTTTAGGGTTGTGGGTTTTGGGGTGTAGGGCTTGACGTGGTTGGGTTCGGGTTTAGGGTCAAGGGGGGAGGGTTTCATGTGATGTTTTGTTTGGGCTTCGTGTCTCGTTCGGTCCCGTCTGGTATCAAAGCCGCAGTCTAAAGCCATTAACGGGCCATGAGCCTGTCAAAATAGCTCTGGGTCAGTAGTATTCTTGCTATTGTTCGTATGTCATTATACGTATAATGATCATTACTGTTACTATTGTCACTGTTTCTGCATCATGAGTCTGGTTGCTATTCTTGCTATCAGCATTTTTGAAAATCTAATGACTGTATTAGTCGGGTCTATCAGGATTCGGTGTTTGGGTTGCAGTGTTGGGGAGTTGCAAGCTCGAGGCTTTGGGTCTAGAGCGCCCTGGTCTGCACGGCGAAATAGGCTGCCAGGTGCCATGGGTTCGGGATTTAGGGTTTAGAGTTTGGGATTACTTGATTTAGTGCTTACGGGTTCAGGACTTGTTCAAAAAATGCCTCTGGCTTTGGACCCTAAACCCTAAACCTAAACCCGTGTCAAGACACAGTCATAGCAGTGCAAAGCCCAACCCTTATCGGTAGGTCGAATGCCCGAAAGCTTTGTGCCCAAAAGGGAGGCAACAGCCACGCAATGCTAATCTTGCGAGCCCTACTGGTTTCTTGGATGCAGATTTGGAAGTTTTGGGTACATGCTGCATAGTAGTGGCACAAATTCAGCCGCGCCTTGCTCTGCAAAGGGTAATGGTACTGATCAAAGGCACGAACTCTCGACGACGTAAAAGGAACCAGCGGTCCAAGCTAAGGCTAAGGCAGTGCAGATCAACTGCGGGATGTATCCTAGACCTCCAGTGGCATCTAGCACGGAAACAGGCAACGGTTATCACAGCATACAAAAGACCGGAACGTGCAGACGTTGTCAAGAGGTTGTGAGCCATTCTTTAAGGACCAGGGGACTTAGTAAGTAGGTCACGAGCTTTAAGGTCGGAAATCGAATCGTAAAAGAACACCTACAACTCAAGTATCTACAACCCCTAGGAGCTTCAAGACATTAAGGGAACCCTAGATACGATCCTTGCTCGAAAGACCCCTTGGTCCTAATTGCGAAGGAACCTGTCAAAACCTGCCAAAACAAACACCACCCTAAACCAGAATCCCGAAACCCCAAACCCTAAACTGAACCTTAAACCCCAAAGCCTAAAGTCTAAAAGTCTGATAAAAACCAACTCACTAAGTCCCCTGGCCCTTTCCGATCAGAAGGCGACCTTCTTCTTTGAAAACTCGGCTATTTCATCTCGAAGGCCTTGGCTTTGAGTTTCGGGTTCATATAACAATAGGATTTAGGGTTCAGGGTTCATATGTTTTTTTTAAGTGCAGTAGCCCCTTTCTCCGCAGCACAGAGTCAGAAGCTCGCTCAGGTTAGAGCTTGCACTATGTTGCCCACTCACAAGGATCACCACTTCTCCACACTCCTTTGTCATCCCGGCATCATTTCACTCATCTCTACTTCGACTGCGTTCACGATGGGCACTACTTTCGACTCTCGGTACATCCACTCCGTTTTCTGGTACATCTGGTACATCTTGGCGTGGGCGAGCGCCTGCAGAATCGTCACCTCCTTGTGGTGCACCTGGTCCAGCTCGATCTGCACGACCAGCTTCTCCAACACGTTGAGCAGGTGGTACAGGACGATGTCGTTCTCGATATCGTCGTCGGGCTCGATGTTGACGAAGACGTGGAGGCGGGCGAGGTCTGAAGTTTCTGCGGCATCCCTCCACTTGAGATGGGCCAGGTCCTAGATGTACATGTGGGATGACCGGCAAGGCTTCATCCGGCCAATTGTCCACACGCTGGTCCTCGTCTTGTTGTAGTAGAAGAAGTCGACGGTCATCTTCGGCCGGCCATCAGTGCTTCCTGATTTTCGCTCTGGTAGACCATTTGTACATGTCTTCTCCAGGCTCGACGTCGGAACCCTGCCACTGTATGAGGAGCTTCACCCCAATCGAAGGCTTGGTTGAGGTCCTCAACTGTTGACGGTAGGCCAGGCTGTAGCAGAACTGCCGGATCCAGAGCCGGGGGCACAATCGGCTCCACTTGCATGTTTGAGCCCACCTGCGATTGTTGAAGCACCATCTGCCAAACAGCCTGCTCCAACATTTGTCCATTGAATGGTCTGGCTGTCAATGGAGTACGGAGCCACATGAGGACCTCTTCCATGGCTTCTCCCAGTAGTCTGTCGCAGTGTCGAAGTTGCCTTTGTCTGTCCTGTGATCTCCTCAACACGTCCACTGCATCAACCAGGTTTGCTTGCACAAGTTGGGCGTTGACCTCATCTCTCACGTTCTCCATCGGAGTCACCATGGTTGTGGTAGTAGAGGAGGTCCCAGTCGAGCAGGTCGAGGTCAAGGTTCGCGTTAGTTTGACCTAGTTGGGTGGCATCATCTTCAGTTCCATCAGGTTCATCCACCGGTGATCGGCATAGTCCATGAGGACTCAAATGAGCAGGTGGTGGTCCTCTTGGAACTGCTGTTGATGACGAACTGGCACTCGAGGAAGAGGAGCCCTCAGGCTCGTTGACCGGCCGGGGTGGTGGTGGTCCTCTGGGTGGTTCGCCAGGTTGAAGATGATGAGGAGGTACTTCAACCCAGTTTCCGTCACCATCAAGTGCCCAGCGACTGTCACAACTCTCGATGCTTCCTGCAGACGACTCACCTTCACCAAAATGGCCAGGTTCTGCTTCAACTTCAGTCGCCTCTTCCTCCACCACATCCTCCACTACCTCATTCTCATTCATTTCACTTCCAACAGGCAAGTCGGAGAAAGCTCCTCCTGTTTCATCCGGTTGTAGTGGAGCACGAACACGTGTTTCCAACGTGTGCAGGAAGGCATCAATGCATTGTCTAGCCCACGAAAACATGCGCCATTGGTGGTCTTCTCGGTGCAGGCACCCGCCGAACAGGTAGATAACCACGTGGAACTACTCTTCGAGCCAAGATGTGCGCAATCGTGTTGAGGGCAGAGGATCCTTCTTCAAGACGCTGAATCATACAACTGAGAGCCCATCTGCTCTATGGTCCCGTTCCAGCATCTTGGTGTCGATCCATCGACTGCAGTAGGTCACAGATCCGCTGGATGTCACGCTGTGGTACCCCTTGTTCTTGAAGGCGTTGTTGTTCCGCACCTGTTAACTGCATCGAGTGGGTTTCATCATGAGGTTGCTCGGGACGAACGTCAGGAAAGAGGCCCGCACGTCAGGAAAGAGGCCCGCATTGGGGATCACTGACCAAGTGGTTGAACTCGTAGTTTCCCAGGCCGAAGTGGAGGAAGACGACGTCGAGGATGACCACCATTTTGGACCAGCCATTGGCCGCATACCATTCGTCCCACTCCTGTTGTGTCCATTGCTGTACTTCCTGAGCAGCAGAAAATTCTCCCGCAGGTTCTTCTGCTTGTTCTGTTTCAGCAGGCACAGCATCAAGATCAGGATTGATCCCATGTGTAGTCCCCGACGATGTACTCGTTCCAGCTTGTTGACGTCGTGCTTTGTCTTCCCGATACTGAACAAGCCAGGCTGGGCGCCAATCTCCTCGAAAGTAGCTGTCCATGCGGCTCAACTTCTTGAGTGTCCTCCTCCTCTGTGCGCTCGCATCTCCTCTGGTGTTCTCGGCCACGCGAAAAGTTGGCCATGTTTCCAGAACCCTACCGTGCCTGGGTGGGCCGAAGCTTCGCTGTCATCAGTGTCGATCTCCTCCGTGCCACTCGCAGAGGAAGTCGCTGGTTCATCTGTAGTTGGTTCAACCTCTGTTTCTCCCGCCGTTGTAGAAGCTCCATCGCTTGTTGGGGCTTGTCCTCGAACCTTGAACTCCTCCCCGTAGTAAGTTTGCGCCTGGAGCACAGGTTCAGGGAAGGTGTCATTCACCCCAGTGATCTGAAATGTCACCGGTTCCGTTTCGCTGACTGGGGGCAATGCAAGCCCAGTATCCCGCAATGCTGCAGTCTTCTCACGTGCTCGGTTGCGAACCGTGCCATTTGCATGATGCCAACGATGTCGTCCCTGACGCTGAACACCCCAGCGGAACGTGACACCCTCGACGTCCCCATGCAAGGCAGAGTTCTCAGCAGCAGAGCTTGTAGGGCCATTTTCAGGTCCAGGGTTCGGCATGCTGAGTGGTTCCCAAGATGAGGTCGCCCCCGATGTAGAGGTACTTCCAACAGGTTGTGCTTGGTGTCCCCGAAGTTTCCACTTATCACGAAATGCTTCAAGCCAGTCTCCGGTCAGGCGCGTTCGTTATGTACACCAACGAAGGGTATTGGAACAGCATCTACATCAGGTTGCTCAGGGTGGTCCTCAACTGCATCAAGCTCGTCTTGTTGAAGTGCTGCACTCAGCTCTTCATCCCATGTCGTTGTCGGCCAAGAGCTCCAGGGTGAGCTTGTCCACGGCGTGTTCCACGAAGTACTGGATCCGGTCCATGTCATACTGCAGGAAGAGCTTGTCCAGGAAGAAGACGATGTACTCCAGGAGCCAGAAGTCGTTGGTCTCGTAGAAGACGAATCATTTCCCGTTGATGTCGCCCCCGCTGTCTCGTTCCATTGCGCAGAACTCGAGGCAGTGGTAGATCCAGAGATACCAGGTACCGAAGCAGGCACATAATCTCCCGGAGAGGCGTCAGGTATCAAAGTCGAACAGCTGTGTTGATGAAGGGCAGGGTCAGGCAGTGTGCTCCAGGAGGTATTCGTACCGGCTGGCGTCGATGAGGTCCAGGAGTTCAAGGGCCATTGTGAGGTGCAGCCTCCTGTACCTTCAGCATCATCATCCCACGGTGAGTTCACACAGTGGAGGGATGTAGGGACCTGGACTTCTTCCTCATTGTTTGCACTCTCAGTTGCCCAGACAGTCTCCGACCATTGTTGTGCATCCCAGGCAGGAAGGCTATCGGGCTTCCAACTGGACTCCCATCGGTCCTCGTCCGAATCCTCATCCACAGACAAGGCCGTGAACATCACGAAGGTAAAGATTACGAAGGCAACGAGAAAACGAAGGAGCGTGGAGGCAATCGAAGAACAGACTCGAGCCTGCAATCAGATGTTGAGGCAGGCGATCATCACAACTCTCACGGCGTGCTCTGACAGAATGTGAACCGCAGACCATGGTCATGCATGTCACTCTTGCAACACAGAAGTAACTGCAAGACATGACCCAATGCAGGTCACTCGTCCAGGAGCATCAGCTCAGCAAGCTTCACTTCCCCCGAACTGACAACTCGCAAGGTCACGTAGAAGACTAGTATCGGATAGACAGCTGCCTACCCTGGGTCCATCGGATGTCCCAGCGAAGCAAGTACAATTCCCTCGCCCCACTCCACTTTTGACGATCATTCGCAATCTCCCCCCATGAACTTCACACGGTTGGCATTCAACGTTGGATGCATAGAAGCGACCTTCATGTCTAACACCTGTGTGGCGGCTTAGTCTTTGCTGCAGGCGCCACCACCCTGTCGATTTCCAACACAAAGCTTTCATTGGCAGGGAGAGTTCGCATCTAACATGATCGCCTATCAAAATCTCTTCTCGTCTCCGTGCCCAATGACCATGGAGCGTGTGCTGTAGCCGTAGGATACAGGTCTCGTGTCCTCCCGCGGCAATCCACGCACGACACTGACGCATTGATCTTGCATTCCACGCAACCCATGTTTCATCAGCTTGCCTGTGTATGCGAAAGGCATCCCTCATTACATGGAGCTGCAGCAAGTTCGCTTGTCGTAGATCTTCTGCCGACCAATGTAGTCACCAGCAGTCCACTTGAATTGACCCTCGACTAATGTTTTCATCATTGAGAACTTTCGTCCCCATGCAGCGTGTCCTCACAGAAGTTCTGTGTTTGGCTGCGGCGTTTCTGGTCCTCGCCAAGAGTTCACGAGCTTGTTGTGAGGGCGACTCTTGCAGACTGAAGCTGAGACCGAGGACCCTGAGCGATTCATCCCAGGGAGAGATTTCGAAGACGTTCGTTCCAACACGGAGTTTCCTTGGCCCTCGATAGGCTTCGCTCGCAACAATTTTCGTTTTGTCTGTCGACAAAGCCAGGCCTGCTTTGCTCAGGTGACGCTCAATGAGGCTCAATGACATTGATCTTCTTACAAAGCCGTACAAAGTCGCCCTCCAACAAGAAAATGTCATCTTGATAGAAGACAAGTTGAACATCTAGTCCCGGAAGTGCCGCCCCGAATTTCTTCCATCCTTGGCAATCAGTGAGTTCGCTTAACATGCAATCCATGATCATCCCGAAGAGCTCGGTGCTCTCAGGCGCACCTTGTTTTATGCCAATGTTGGCATCCAGAACAATCTGTTGTCCTCCAGGTGCCTCACCAGCCAACGTATACGTCCGTAGCTGTGCCAGAAGATATTTGAGTTCATGCGGAACATCCCGATGCCCAAGCCTATCCCGTAAGAACTCACAGATACGAAGCCGATCAATTCGATCAAATGCACCTGAGATGTCAAGCTTACAAAGCAGAGCTGGAACACGCCATTCATGAATTACATCTCGAACTCTGGATATCGTCCCAATCACGTCCGCGGACTGTCGTCCCTTTCCACATCCACTAATGCGTGATCCAGTGCGCAACATCGGCATCGTGCGGGCACATACAAGTCGACTGACGAGTTTGTGAAAAGCTGAACTGACGCAAATAGGACGTAAATCTTTCGGGGTTTCCGGCACATCCTTTTTTGCCAAAAGAGCAAGAAAGCTGACCTGCCATTTCTCGGGGAGCTCCAGCGTCTCAACAATGTGATTCACCAAGCCGAGCAAATCCTCCCCAAGAACAGGATCATCGACAAGACAACGAAGTAGGTGAACACTCACCCCGTCAGGTCCAATCGCGCTGTTGAGGCGCATCTCGTGTAATTCTGTGCGAAGATCTAGGAGGGTGAAGGGAACGAAGCAGGTCGTTTCAGTGACGGCATCTATCTGCGAATTGATAAGGTCATCCCAATCATTCTGAAAAGGGTTGAACAGTTTGGTTACGAGGTGCTCCCGAGTCTCTGCAGCAAGCTTCTCCGAAGACTTGTCCACAAGCATTTTACCCCACCACCCTCGTCTCCGTGTTTTTTCTCGTTGAAGCATTCTGTACTGGTCCCAATCTCCATTAAGGATCTGAGTTAGGCGACGTGCATGCCAAGTCTTGCGGTGAGCTCGTCGCACTCGACGGACACGTTTCCAAGCTTCCTTGGTTCGAACTGTTCTGGCATGCGCAATGGCCAATTTGACTTCCTCACAGTCCTGGTAGGCATCAGACTTCCTGGGTCGAGAGATCTCCTTGGCAAGGGCGGAACACACTATTAAAGTACGAAGTTAAAACACATTGTAAACAGTGTGTTCCGTGGCATACGTACTCTAGTGAGGCAATTGCGGTCATTTTAGCTCCAATGGCTCTCAGTACCTCCAAGGGCATTTCGAGTTCATGGTTCAGCTAACCGCGACAACCTTCTGTCTCGATCTGTACTGCGGCTATTCCACGCAACTGTTCTAGATACTGGCGGTGCATCTCAGTTGTCGTCTCTCCGTGCATCTGCAAGAAATTCGGGTTGTTGTAGCGGCCTATTCCCAATTTTGCTGCCTGAAAGGCAGGTGGGTAGCCCGCTGTTGCGTTGTCAATCTCGTAGTTGAAGGGCAGCCCGATGGCGGCGGTCTTCGTCTTCTCCTCTACCCCGTCGAAAGCACATATCTCAGCTCCTGGGGAATCGGAAGTGGTGACAAACGCATCGATCTGACAAATAGTCAGAACTCTAGTGGATGAGTCAAACGTAGGGATCAAAGTATCAAGCTTAACCATAGTCAAAGCTGTGAGTTTGCCTTGCGTGTCTTGATCAGCAGAGCTCTTGATGAACTCTTGGTAACCCCGGTTCACGAGCAGACCATAGTGGTAAGCATAGGTACTTGACCTCAAGTAGTTGACCATCCCGTCGAAGGAGGCGTAGATCGGCTTGGCGAGCAACTCCCTGTTCGCAAGCTCTTGCCCAGAGGTGAGAGGCAAACTGTAAGGCTCTTTCATGCACTCATACAAGGCAAGAACGAAATGGTGCTGCGTTCAAAGCTTGTCCACGAACAATCTCGATCGATGCTGTTCGCATAATGTCGAAGTCCAGCCCGTTCACTTGTCCGGTCATCAATGCGATTTCCCGCGGGTGCAAGCACGAAAGGAATTCGATCTGCTCATCATCACTCAGTAGCATACGACTGTCTGTTATTGACCCAGGCCCGATGTAGGGTGTACCTGGAAACGGGTCTGCTGGCAATGTAGACGAGCGTTGTGAATGGAAGGCACAAGTCATGCACTTGTCTCCAGTCGATGTCTCATATAGACATATCGGCCTGAAAACATTCTCGCCGAGGCGCGGGCGCTGGTCATAAAGCAATCATCAAGTCTTGAAGACAGCTCTTGCGCGTACTCGAATGAGAAATCAGACGTTGTGTGTGTAGCCAAATCCAGTATGGGGATTTTCTCTAAAATCACAGCCTTCGTCTTCATGGCCGTGATCATACTGGCATCATTGGCGAACAAGTGGAACGGGGAAGAGCGCAGCTTGCTCTTTTGAACTCCCGTGTCCGTGAGTTTCAGCAGGTACTTCAGGAATGCCTTGCTTGACAGGCCATCTCCGACAAGAATGTACTCATGTCGAACCACCTTGCTCATAGGAACAGAAAGACGCGCTTCTGTCGCTGCAGATACGAGAACCTCCTTGGCAGTGTGCGTCTCAGACTCCTTGAGTTTCTCTTTTCCTGCATTCTTGCGATCAGCACGCTTCCTGTCCTTCTCTTCCTTGGCCTTGCTTGGATCCGAAGTAGTCTTGACTTCAACGTTCGGGTTCTTTGAGACCTTTGCGTCCAAGAAGCCAGAAACTCTGTTTCCGGAGCCAAACTGAACGACCTTCATGCGCTTCGGCGCTTGAGTGATAGGCTTGTCATTGCGCTCTACGGTCTTTTCGGCCTTCGTGGAGGCACTACCTTCAGCCATCTCGAGCAAAACCTTGCACATGCGAAAATGTAGAAACATTTTCGCGCATCTCCGTGGATTCCTCCTCGATCTCCACGCATGGAAGAGGCTCTTGCTCCTCCTCGCTGGCCGAGTCATCCAGGTCTGCACTCAATGCCTCGAATCGGTTGCGGAGGCTGAGACCTTTCCAGCCGTGACTGGCCATGGCTCGTGCTGGTCAGCGTCGACACGGTGCCAGCGCACACAAACGTTCATATGTTTAGGGTTTATAGGGTTTATATGATTAGGCTTATAAGGGTTTAGGATGTAGATGATGAGGGTTTAGGGTTTATGGTTCACGGTTTAGATTTAATCAGGGTTTCTTAGGCTTAACTAGGGTTTATTTCTTGGTTGGGGTTGAGGGTTTAGGGTTGTACAGTTTGGTGTTGATATGATTAGGGTTTAGCGGTTTACTTGGGGTTTCGGGCTTGATTGAGGTTGAGAGCTTAGGGTTCGGGGTGTGTGTTGGGTTTCGGGGTTTGGGGCTTAGGGTTCACTTTTGGGTTTATGGCTCAAGATGTGGTGCTGCTTCAAAGTCTTTGGGTTTAGGATCGTGGGCCTAGACTGAGGGTCTTGGGGCTTAGAAGCCTACATGGTCTTGGGGTATAGGCTCGCAGGGCCTAGGACGGGTTTAAGGTCTTAGACTGATTGTCTCGGGGCTTAGAGGCTTACGTGGTCTTAGGCTTTATGGCTGAGGGTTGCTTGTCTTAAAGGGCAGTCCAGTCAAGGGCCGTGAGTTCGGTTTTGCTTTGCTTATGGGCTGCCGGACAGCATTCGGCATATGGTAGTTTCAGAAGATAAGGGGCCCTTATTCTATACCAAGTAGTGGACTTCTACAGGCGGTGCACATAAAGGAAGTCTCTAGTGCGAAGCTGGCGCAGCCCAAACCATACTGCCGATTTCAGCATTCTCCTCTCCGAAACGACTACGTACCCTCCAACCACTCCTAGCCCTTGGCTCACATCCTGAAGCTTCTATGTTGCAAACCCTCAAGCCTCAACCCCAAAAATGTCAACGTGAAAACCCCAACCCCTTATAGACGGTCTCCTCTGTTTAATAGGGGCTGACCTGAGTACTTGATGATTGTGATGCTGCAGATACCTATTCATGAACCTGCCTGTTATGGGGATGTATATAGTTCTTGATATCTGTTGCTATTCGCATCACCATTATTTGATTAGGGAGTTAAGTAAGGGTTTTATTTGTTAGTTTATCAGTTAGCAAACAGTGAACTAACTGTTTTTCTTTTATTCACCAGATATTCCCGATTTGGTTCTGGGTAGTAATAGTTGCTAGATCCGAGGTTTCGGATCGTGTGGCCTGATCTTTAAGCTGCTCTGATCATCATGCACGAAACGCTAAAACATAACCTAAACTACGCGGCTGAGCACCAATGGACAGCGTCGTCTGAATTCCTGAGTCCAACCGCCTTCAACCTAAGAGAAGCTCTGGGTAAGGCTTGTCAAAGCCTTATCACAGGACGGATAAGGAAAGGTTTATGTAGACAACCCTCATCATCATGTACTAACTATTCGGGGGTTTGAGCTTTCAGGCTTTAGACATTCGGGCTTTACGGCTGTCAACTCAAAGTGCTCGGGATCTATCGTCACCCAAAGCCCCTGCTTGCACCACGGGGCGAAGGGGCCAGGACACAGCCGCGCCTCGCAGATTTGGGCCTCTGCCGCACGGATTGGATTTTGCTGTGAGTTTCCGGGCTCCCAGAGAGCTCAATACCGCATGGTCAAGCAACCCTCCTCGCCCTATATAGGTCTCTCGCTGTGGTTCGAGGGCTGTTCTGATTTTCGTGGTATCGGGTTGGGTCTGGGGGGGCCTGAAACCATAGGATTTTTCAAAAACCATTGGTTGTTTTATAGGTTTTTGAAAAACCTATGCCAAACTTCCCGCGCCTAAACCCGAAAGCCGACGGTCCGGCGGCATTCCTGAATAAGGGCTACCATGACCTGGGTTCTATACGGATTCCGAAAAGGTTTCTATAGGCTCCTGTAAATGCCTTGCTCTATGTAAGTAAGGGTGTTCGCCAGCATATTTGGGAGTTGAACCTTTGCATTCGGTTTGCTTAGTCTTTTGCCAGCCATGCTTGCAGCTCCAATTTGTGCCAATAACTCCTGTTTTGAAGGCCATTCAAGTTGACCTTTGCTGATTCTTCATATGATATACGGAGCACATCCGGATCATTGATTGGGCCCCCAGGCAACACCTCGAGCCCCTGTCCCGAGCATTACCTCGCCGGGCCGATAGTTCGACCCACCAGCTTCAACATGATAGAACCACCTACTCTGCCAAGTCCCCCACCCTCTTCCCCATACACCCTAAACCCTAAACCCTAAACCCGTAAACCCGTAAACCCTAAACCCTAAACCCCTAAACCCTAAACCCTAACACTCCTGACACAAGTGAGCCTTGTGGGCTCCTCAACAACTAGAAAGTATGACGTTTTTAACACGGCGTAGCAATTACTCCGCCAGCCGGCGTAGGGAACTCGTGACTTTGCAACACTCCGCTCCGCCCCAAGAGCCTGTGACATGTATAAGGGGTAGATAAAGGCCATGTAGCTCTAAACATTCGGCCCGGGCGTGTATTTGAGCTGATTTGGGGGGGTATGGGGTGTAGGGATTCGGGTGGTGGAATTTCGGCACCAAAACCCCAACCCTGCCCCTCAAGAGATTTGGGGTTTAGGGTTGTTCCGCCTTGGTGTTGTAGGATTTAGGGTAGCAGGATCCAACAACTTTAACAAAGAAACCTGGTTTGAAAGGTGTTTGTAATGTAGGGACCTAAACAACTGGAATTGGAGCCGTTGGGGTACAGCACGTTGCACCCCCCACCCACCCAGCCAGCCTTTTTCACTTACTTCGGTGAGATGGCAAGCGTCTTGCCGGTCTGGGTGTAGATGCCCGCGACCTTTGTCAAAAATCCCCCGATTCTTCGGGTGCACCATATCCCCTTCAATGAAGAAATATACTCCTTAAATCATACTAGGAATCCTACGATAACTTAAGGTTCTATTCCCTAATTAAGGGATATTGGAGTCTCTGTGGGTAGGGTTTCAGGTTTAGGGCCCCGGAGCCACGAGCCCCCCATCTTCGTGCCCAGGGTTGAAGTTGCAGGGTTTAGGATCTTAGATGCAAGATTTGGGTCTTAGGGCTTAGGTTTCAAGCTGCCGGGCGTGCGGGGTATAGTCTCGATGAGGAAGCCTTAAGGAAGATTGTTCTTAATTTTTCCGACGCCCAAATGAAGCTTTAAGCTTTCAGGGCTGAAAGCCTTTTAAGGCCCAAATCTCGAAACAGCGGGCCCTGAATCCTTAAAGTCCACAGCCTTACCCCTAGACGCCAAAATCCACCAGCGCAGAACCACAAAACCGTTCGACCAAGGCACAATGTCGGGGGTGACCTGGCTCAGATCAGTTGAAGGACCCTACGTCGGTCTTGCATTCTTTTGAAGGGCTTCACAGTTGTTACTGAGCTGACGAGATCAGCTGGAAAGCCTACATCCGTATACGGATTCTAGGCAGTGATAATCATTGGGGCTGGGACATTGAGCTCAAAAAGGCTGCAGAGGTTAGGGTAATGCGGGTTTGGGGGTCTTCGGACAGCATGAACGATTTGCAATACTTCCACCAGTCGTACCAGTTCGAAGCTTAGGTAGTGGTGGTAGTAGCAGTAGCAGTAGCAGTGGCAGCGGCAGTGGCACTGGCAGTAGCAGCAGTAGTAGCAGTAGTAGCAGTAGTAGCAGTAGTAGCAGTAGTAGCAGTAGTAGCAGTAGTAGCAGTAGTAGCAGTAGTAGCAGTAGTAGCAGTAGTAGCAGTAGTAGCAGTAGTAGTAGTAGTAGTAGTAGTAGTAGTAGTAGTAGTAGTAGTAGTAGTAGTAGTAGTAGTAGTAGTAGTAGTAGTAGTAGTAGTAGTAGTAGTAGTAGTAGTAGTAGTAGTAGTAGTAGTAGTAGTAGTAGTAGTAGTAGTAGTAGTAGTAGTAGTAGTAGTAGCTGCTGCAGCAGCAGCAGAAGTA